CAGTATTTGGAAAGAGCTGAAAAATTAAAGGCATATTTGAAAAAAAGTAAGAAGAAACCTGTAAAAGCTGGTGAAGATAATTCTAAAACTGAGGATAAGAAGAGCGATAGTGGAGACAGTGATACAGATAGTGATCCTGAAAAGAAGAAACTTCAAAGCAAACTGGAAGGTGCGATAATTATTGAAAAACCAGATGTTAAGTGGAACGATGTTGCCGGTCTTGATGGAGCCAAGGAAGCTCTAAAGGAAGCTGTTATTTTGCCAATACGTTTTCCCCATCTGTTTACTGGAAAACGGATACCATGGAAGGGTATCTTATTATTTGGGGTAACTTTTACATAAGTACAAAATAACTTTTAGGTAAAAATTAACTATAAAACATGACTTATCAGCAGAAGGATTTTGCAATTTTGTCTAAGTAATTTACAATCATTTTTTTCAAGTAATTTCAAGATATTTTCAGCCACCAGGTACTGGTAAATCCTATCTAGCAAAGGCTGTTGCAACTGAAGCTAATAATTCAACGTTCTTCTCTGTGTCATCCTCGGACTTGGTAAGCAAATGGCTTGGAGAATCTGAAAAACTTGTCAAAAATTTGTTTGAATTAGCTCGTCAACACAAACCCAGTATCATATTTATCGACGAGGTGGATTCACTTTGCTCGTCACGTTCCGACAATGAATCCGAATCTGCAAGAAGAATAAAAACAGAATTTTTAGTTCAGATGCAAGGTAAGCGAAATATTCGAATAAATTGTTGATTTGTACATATGTTGACATATGTACTAATTTCTCCGGATACGCGTTGTTATGTACGTAAATAAAATATGACATGGTAAATTGATTCATTAGGTGTTGGATCAGATAATGACGGTATACTAGTGTTGGGAGCTACTAATATACCATGGGTGTTAGATTCTGCTATTAGAAGAAGATTTGAGAAGAGGATTTACATTGCCTTACCAGATGAACAAGCTCGTGTTATAATGTTCAAACTTCATTTAGGAAGTACTTCTCATTGTCTAACAGAAGAAAACTTTAAAAAATTAGCAGCTGCTACTGATGGTTATTCTGGAGCTGATATAAGTATTATTGTACGAGATGCTCTTATGCAGCCAGTTAGACTAGTTCAAACTGCAACACATTTCAAGCGTGTAAGAGGACCATCACCAAAAGATCCTTCTATTATTGTGGATGATTTATTGACACCATGTTCACCGGGAGATCCAGCCGCTATTGAAATGAACTGGATGGAAGTTGAGGGTGATAAATTGTATGAACCACCTGTAACTATGGTAAATATAGAATGTTTTTTATTTCCATTGAATTATTTCAGTCTTATCTTATAAAATTTTTAATTGTAATCTATTATATGGTATAATTTACTTTTCATATTTAGAAAGACATGTTAAAGTCATTAGCGACTACCCGTCCCACAGTGAATGAAGAAGATATGGCTAAATTAGAAAAATTTAAAGAAGATTTTGGTCAAGAAGGTTGATACTCAAATTTTTTTAATCAAGTTGCTATATACTTCCAAAAGTATCTTTCTGTTATACATGCACTTGCCTTATGTCTTGTTTGATTATCGACATTGCGATACGTAATATTTATACAAAAAGTTCAAACGTACATTGACTCAGGCTTTTATTTTCAAACTTTCTTTTCCTTCAACAGTCATTACACGATAGCAATGCAAACATTGCGAGCTTGATGCTTATTTACAAATACTGTTTGTTAAAATATAAAAATCGCAGAATGAACGATATATATTTTGTGATGAAAATTAGTTACATTTTAATCTGCAAAAAAAAGAAAACAATAGACTATTTTTTATTCAAAAAACGCGAGAAAAAGTTAAAATGCTACCGATCCATAACGTAATATGTAACGAATTCTGTGCGTTTTTAACTTATATAATTATTGCTATACTTGTACCTAACAAATTAATTGTACAATACATATGTAGGATTAATAAGTATTTCTGAACAATGTTTATGATTGTAGATTAGCAATTCATTTGTATGTTTTGTAATTTTGATTTTGCTTAAACATCAGCGACACGTTATCAATGACATTTGCATTCATTTTCCTCAGTAAGTATAAATTATACTAATAATCAATTTGAAACGATTCGTTAAATTACGTGAACGCGATTACATGTAGTATGTGATATACATATGTGTACGTATATCAAATAAGCAAAATACCATTTCCATGTGTAAATTGTTTTTATTGTTAATTAAATAAATAACAAGCTGTACACAATAGAATTTCAGTTTTTCCTTCAAGAAGCCTAGAAACAATAAGAATTGTGAAAGATCTTATAAATGTAACAAGAAAGTTTTCTACTGATTCACGGAGGGCAGTGTCTTAAAAATTCAGAGTTCATATAAACCACTGTTATTGTAATATCGTCACGAAATATTCGTACAACTTCTCCTGGTAGTGTCAATAATTGTGACAATTTAACATGATCGATTCCGTATTCCGTACCACCGAGTGCGTTTCTCAATAAATGTGTCGCTGCATTACTATCAAGAGGTTTCTTTTTCAAGCCTTCTTTACGTTGCAACAACATTTTATGTATTTCTGATAATTTCATATTTTTACGGGGCAGCTTCAATGGGCTCAATGTTACTTTTCCACTCATATGCTCACCTACTAAACGTACAGCTTGTAAGGGTGACATTAAATCCCATAGACCATCGCTAGCTATTATAAGAAATTTATCTCTTGGTGTTAATCTATGATATCTAACTTCTGGTTTCGCTGTCAAGTATGGAGGAGTATAATAATTCGGTGGAATTGCTGTTTCACCGAAATATGGCACCACTACTTTCTCTAAGATTTGTTTGCTCCATTTGTAGCGAAAATCACCTAACGAACGAAGGGGCGCTAATTGTCCAAGTAGTCGTTCCAATTTAATTACAGTTGATTTTTCGTTCGATGGATGCTCTGATAGAATTCTTTCGACTTCTGCACGATTGTCGGTATTATGTTCGACGGTCATTAATTTTGCAGACCAATCATCATTTTCTATAATGTAAGATAGTAATACTAATAACAGTGATGATAATGATGCAGATATTAAGTAGTAATGACAACAATAAGAAAACTGTATATCCATTTCTCGTAAAATTACAAAGTCTGATAATTACATCTCATACCAGAAAGTATGCCGAGTACTGCTTGGCAATCACCCACTCCAGTGACATGAAGATGTGGACCATCTATGTGTGCAACAGCTGCTACAGCACCAGACATTGCAACAGCAAGAGTTGTAGCAGCACTGCTTTTACCTAAATTTAAAAGTGCTTCGTTCGACAAATCATTATCTAATCTGAGAAATGCATTCTCTAAAGCTGTTTCCATTTGAAATTCTTTTGTACATCCCATTTCTATTAAGTCCTTGACAAAAGTTAAAAAGCTTGCTTGATAAAGATCTCTAATTTCAGAAATAAATTCCACTTTATCATTGAACATTTGAAGAAGTTCTAATTTATTGCTGGAGTTAACTGTGTTGAGATACTGTTTTAGTAATTTTGTGGGCAACAAACATGCTGATATATAATGAAAAAGTCTCTTTGAGATAATTTGTGCACATGTACGACCTCCATGACCATCAAACACACCTAACAATATTCCTAAAATAAATTTGTGCTTTTGTTGTACATAATATGAAATTCGTCGTGTCACTAATTGTAAAAATATAAAAGTATATCGAATAATTTGTGTATGTATAAGTTGTTTCCAATGTTTTATACAACTTCTGTACCTTTTGTAAGTAAACATTGAGCCTCTGATCGAGTATCTTCCATAGGATTATTGGATGCCAACTGATTTGAATCGTAATATTTTATAGAACTTTCACCATCAAATTCTTTGGTATATTCATTAGCTTGCAAAATTGCTGTAACCTACAACATATTTATAAAAAGGAGAGTTTGGAAAGAGTTTGATAAGACTACATTACCTCTTGTGGTGTAAGCCGTGGCAATGCCATATATAATCTGTGAGCACATTTGTTACTACTCCATTCATTATGTCTAATGCATACATTACTGACAGTTTTAATTAAATTACTGCCAACGTTTTGTAAAACCATTCTATTTCTGCGGTTTTGCAGTATATTTGTACTAGCACATTTTCGTGCTTTTACTTCTACAGCACATTTTGTCTGCCTCGCACTCGCAGGTTATGTTAAGCTCCTATCTTTTGCAATGTCTTTCTAAGAATAATTGTTGTTATAGCAGCCGCATATACGATATATGCGCACGCGTACAAATACGGTCATGAACAAAAGTATTAGTACACTCTTTAAAACAGAATAACTTTTTTAAAACGGAACCAAACGACTTAGAAGAAGTTAGAAGGATTAATTTATTTAGATGAAAGAAGTTTTTCTAAAATTGCAATTCAGGATTGCGAAGAAAATAGTGAAGGTCACTCTTTACAATTTTATTATTTGAGGCTGCAATAAAAATTAAAAAAGTACATTTTTAAAATTTATGTTAGTTATATGCCTAGATAAAAAGATTGTAAAAGCGACTCTTCGGTATTTTCCTCGCGACTCCGACCAACTGTAATTTTTTAATTTCATAATTTCATAATATCATAACTTTTGAACCAATAGATTTCCCGTCTTAAAACTTCTATTTTTGGATTCTACACGTCGAAAACTACAGAAGTGCAAAAAAAGCCAATAATTTTTGGTTTCCTAAAATAAAATTTAGCCGAGATTAGTTTACGCTTATTTTATATGTATGTATTTAGTATATGAATCTGCATACGTTAATAGACAAGGACATAAGAGACCTCTATGCAGCGTTTTCTTTTTCTTTTTACATATATTGCTTTCTCAGCTCGCTTACACATTTTATCTTTATATGTGTCTTTATGGTCAATATTTGCGGTATTAAGAATCTAGAGGTGATTATGACTAATGCAGGTAGACTGCGCGTTCCCAGGCGTAAGAGGCAATAAAGAGAATACAAGAGGCAGTAAAGAGAACACAAGAGTGAAAGTGTTATATTCAGGTTATCCTTTTTTTTCTCTAATGAGTGTTTAGTGAGAGGAAGAAAAGAGAAAAGAGAGGAAGAGCTTGTGTAGTGGATGGCGGATCGCCCCACTATTTGTATTCTCCTTACTTTTCGCACAATCTGAGAGAGAGCGCAATACCTCGACACTCGGCACCACAGTCGTATGTCGTATGGCACTATTTCTGTCCTTCAATATAATCTTCAGCTTACCTGTAAGAACACGCTATCTATCTGTATCAGTTATGAGAGAACCACACTGTATCAATGTTATGTTGAGGTTATGTGATAGAGGAACGCGTGGATGAATTTATGATAGAAATATATATATTGAAGTAAGCATAAGTATAAGTGTATGCTGATCTAAATCCTCATTCTAGCAGTGTTACATTACAACAACTGACATTACTAAAAAATTAACCTTGGTGTGTAACTTTAGCTGAAAGTTACAAAAAACAGCAATAAAAATTTACTTATGGCTCTTTTGTTTCTAGACCTTGTAACCCAAAAACAACATTCATATTCAAGGGCACAATAATATGGACCTCTCCATTTTTAATTTTTTGCTTCAGTAAATTCTATTTTCTTCGTAACGGCCGTTTCCAGGTCATGGGTATACAAAAGAGAAAGATGTGGAGTTTTCCTAGAAGTAATTATTTCAACAATATATATAGTATTTTTCTCAATATATATATAGTAATACTATATATATAGTAGTATATATATAGTATTTTCAAATTTTAATGTAGAAGACTTATATCAATAATTATGTTAATAAAATCAAATGTATCATTTTAGTGATTATTTTTATTAAAAGCAGTTAATTAATTAACCGTTTTAGTGTCAGGGGTGTTTAAGAATTCGTTCGGATTGTCCCATGCAGCGCGATAGCGTTTCGTTTATTTATTTGCGAGAAATGCCGATCGATGCGATCGCTACTCGAAAATATTCGCTCAACGCGCTCGCGTTTCGTTTCATCAGTCATATCAGAAACGTTATACTAAACATTCAAAAGGTTGCGAAATATTCGTGCTTTACGTTTTGTTTGCGTGATAACATTCTATAATATAGGATTTGGTTTTTCAATTCAAGAGGTAATTTATACATTAGTTTTTTTTAATTAACACTAAACCTACCGACACTTTGTATATACCTATTCCTGCCGTGTACGGTCAAAATGACCAGTGATTAAAGAAGTAATAGTTTTTATGATTTAACTTAGATAATGGTTAATTTATAACTGAATGTATATAAAATGATGAACTTTCAAAAAATTTCGGCCAAATTTACTTTTGTTTAATTTCAACTGTAGACAAATAAAATTACACTTTTGTGTATATAGAGATATATCTTATTCAACTTCGTTGCATTTTTTACAAATTATCTTATTATCAAATGTATATTTGCCGCATACATACTTCCCGCATCTTAAACAAATTTTTATAATTTTGTAACCTTTACAATTTTTTACTTGACAAATTTTTTGTAGTAATGAATCTGAACTTGTTGATAGTTTTATTGCATGGTATTCTCCCGCGATTTTTTATACAAAAATTATGTGTGCACCAGGTTTATAACAATTTTGTGAATTCTCTGTAAATCGGCCCCATACCATTGCAAATTTATTGGTTCATAAATGCTGGCTTCTTTCGCTCTTCTTACCAAATCGTATAAATCTCATAATTTTAGCAAAATCATTTTTGTTCATTGTTTTTGAAAAAATGCAGATCTCTAAATTTTATTCCATAAATATGAGACATCTAAATTCTTTGCCTGATATGCACCGCGGGTATATATCAGAGCAATAAATGCATCTAGTTTTGTTGCATCTAGCTTCCTCTTAGCCTCCAATACTCCAAATATATACGGTGATCGATGATAAGGTAAAATGCCATCTTTGCTTGTCCTTTCATTATATGCCGTTTAAAATATCCCTAGAAATGTTATGAACTGATGTCCTGCCAGATTTGGGACTTGCATCTATTTCTCTCCAAACTATCCCATCGGGCCCATTTTCGTTACGTTGGTTCTTTACATCAGTCTCACTCTTTGCTGTCAACGATAATTTCTTTCCTCTTTTCTCTGGACGTGAACGCTTATTTACTAATAATATTCAATTCTGATTCGGTTGTAAATAGTTTTCATGTGTTTCCATGCCGTTTTCAGTTGTTGAAGTTTCTTGTTCATCGCACGCTGAACAGTCTTCTTCTATGTCTGTTATTTTTTTTTTACAATTTTATTTTGAGAAGTGTTGTCATTTTTAGGGTAAATATTTATCACAAAATAACGCTATGTACGGAATACAAAATTATTGTCAAATTTGATATGCTTTACTTTTCCCTTTATAACAGCTTTACACAAAATGCTCTGAGATGCTTTCTGTTTGAGTTTCAGAGATAACAAGTTTAGATGTCGACTGATTGACTAACAAACTGAGATGTATTCTGGTCGAAAGGATGATAGCAAGTAAGAATATGGTCTGTGACGGCGATATTTATACGAAAATATTGATGAATATTGGCCGTTCTCCACCAACGGTTACTTGAGGGTGGAGTTGAGAAAACCCCGCTTTTCCCTTGTTTTATTGCAATGAACAATGACCCTAAGAAACTTCTCAACTTTTAAAATGTTTATAACAATGGACTGTAAAAAATGCTAAATTTTATGGCGGTTCCTTAGGATTATTATGGGCCTGAATTGATATGTCTTGACAACTGATGGTCATCTTAATCGAGGGATGCGATTATGTTTTATGACAAGATTACAGGTGTAACAGCTATTATTATTTGTTATTACTGATTTTGTTTGTCATCTGACTTTGAGATAGTCTTTTCTTTGTACTGATTACAAGGCAGGATACAAATTTTTCTTAGAAAATAAAAGAGCAAACTAAAAGTAAATATCGAAAAATATATTGTATGTATGTTTTAGGAAAAGTCAGAAATTATGAAGCGATATGATAACGTTTAAATATGGTTAAATTTGTGTAGAAGTTCGAGAGCGGTCAATTTAACCGACGCTGGTAGGTTTAGTGTTAATTTGATTATTTATTATTCGTGTATTCCTTGTAGGGCAATGGATACGAAAAAGAAAAGAACGAAGTCAAGTTGGAGACCTAATTCAACTTCTGAATCTGACGATAGCAGTAGTAAGATCGTTCCAGTTTCAAAAAGAAGGAGAATAGACGTTTTTGATACATCTAGTAGCGAAGATAGTATTCCATGCAGTTTTATCTGTTCTGCTACATCTGCAAGTACTTCTATTAATGATATAGGTGAACAAGAGAATTTATTTTCCTTTACTGAAGGCACTGGGCCACAGCCATCGCTAACTAACAAATCTAAACCTATCGATTATTTTAATTTGTTCATCGATTCATTCCTGCTAACATTAATGGTTCGCGAAACGAATAAGTACGCCGAACAATTAATAAAATCACGTAAAATCACCCAAAGATCTCGAATGAAACTATGGAAACCAGTTACTTTGCTCGAAATAAAGGCGTTTATAGCAGTTTTATTGGAAATGGGGATAACGAGGCGACCAACGATATTTTCTTATTGGACCGAAAATTCAAGGAGCATACCCTGGTTTTCAAAAATGTTTTCGCGAAATAGATTCCAGCTTATTTATCAATGTTTTCATTTAGTCGATAATAAAGAATGTTTCCCACCAGGCCATGAAAAGTACGACCCATGCCTAAAATTTATGCCAATAGTTGAACACGCGAATAGAGTATCCAAATTAATTTCGACGCATGCTTCAAATGACAATACCATAGTAATTAAAAAACGAAATGAAAACGAAAGAAGTGGAGCAAAACCATACATAGGTGACAGTTATAATAGTTATATGAGGGGAGTTGGCAAATCGGACAAAATGTTATACGTCTATCTTGATGAACGCCGCACGGTAAAATATTGGAAAAAAATTACGTTTCACATCATTGCCCGTATGGTATTAAATTCCTATCTATTTTATAAGGAAGTTAGCAAAAAGAAGCCAATGACTCGATTGGAATTTACATCAAGTATTATATCTGAAATAGAGCATGAATGGATGCAAGTCAAAAAACAACATATGGTAAGTGATAATGACAGAATATTTGGCTTAATGAAACTACCAGGCAGAAATTTAAGACAGTGCGTAGTTTGTAGCAGTAAAATTAACGGTATAAAACGATCGAATTTAATTTGTATGCAGTGCAAAAAAGGGCTTCATCCATTATGTCTTCATAAACATGTCTGTTTTAAAAATAATGAATGTCATGACCCTGTAAAACCATGACTATAATTTTAATGTCTTTGTGTGTTTACATCTTTGTGTTCTGATTTAATATATATTGTTTATTTGTTTCATTTATCATCCTAATGGCTGAACTAAATAAAAGACTTACTTCTAAATATGACAATGAACATTAGTAATCTAGTTTTATATCTACTATAAATAAAATATTATATTGTTTTTTTTATATTTTCAAAAATTTGTACTATGCAGAAGTATATGTAAATAAAAATAAATTCAACAAAAACAGCTTATTTATGCAGGTGGTTTACGATTATTTGAAAAAAAGGTAATTACGAGAGGAAACTCTGATATGACTCGCAAGGAGCTACATTCGGAACCGAGCGTGTTGCGAATTGACGATCGTGATCAAACATCGCGACACATTTCACCACAGTACGCGAATAACGCGATCGCGCTGCGTGGCGCTAAAACGATTAATTTAATAATAGCAGTTAATCTCATAAATTTAACAATAAGACAAATGTATTTTCAGCATTGCCAAAGAGAATAAAAATTGAAACTATAGAATAACCGAACGACTGTAGTTTATAAACAAGATAATACTTTGGGTAGAATAAGAAACGTATATATGTATCTTTCGTATAGTTAAGTGGTACATATTATATATACAAATGGTACTCTGTGCATGAACAACAATGAAAGCATAAGCAATATATTTAATTTTTTTACGACAATGGTTTTCCCGAAATATATTCATATCAAATTAATTCACCAAATACAATTTTATTTTCTGTAAGACGGGAAGTATTATTAGCATCCACCACATATATGTATGTAAACAACTTCTCTTTCTTAAACAATTTACAATTAGTTTAACGAACAGGTTTTAATTATTATTTTAACAAATTTTACACTTTTTAATGTTTTTCGTTACAAGACATATATAGTACAAGTGGAATAATAGCACACAGACAGAAAGCACTGCATCACGTAACGTTCCATTAAAGGCCGTATCGAATTAGCAACTGTAGGACAAGTCACCTAGAATCTTTGGAAGAATCTAGATTTTCTCAAGATCTTTTCTCTTTACCAATTCATGTAAACTTTTCTAAATTTAAGTGTCTTTCATGTCTATGGGCTCAAGAGCGGATGAATCTCAAAGATAGTACTTCGACGAGCAATTTCACCCATCAGGGTAAGCAAGGAAGGATATCCAAGAATAGAGAAGAGTGGACAGGCGTCGAAATTGCGATCGAAGATGAGTTTTTTTGAGCAGATCAATTTTATCTATTTTTGAGAGTTTTTTGAGCGGATCAATTTTATCTATTTTTGAGAGATAATTTTCTTGTATTCTTGACAAGCTAACTTCTGAATAAATCTTAGCTTTAAAATAAAAGATTTTTCAATTTTCGCGCACTCCAGAGAGCAGGGCGGTTCAGAGTTCCACGCTCCAACTCACTCACCATTTTTCCCCAAAACCGCAAACGTAACATGACAATTCAAAGTTGAATTTTTTTTTTGGTGTAATATTAATAGATAAATAATTTTGGTGTAATATAAATAGATAGATAGATTATTTATGGGAAATTAACACTAATATACTGAACACAGCCACATAAATAGGTCTTAACACTAATATACCGAAAGCATAGAAAAAACCATCCGATAATTGAGTCGTGAAAAATCGACATAGTAGATAAGAGGTATCGTTCTGTCCATGCATAATATGTACTGAATTTATCAGACAGAACCAGAGACCCTCTATTTGCCCCTGTTTAAACAACAACGAAAACTTAGTTGCCTTCCATGTTGCTTTTTCATGACCCAATTTTCGGGCACGTTTGATCGGCAGACTTCAGCACGGCCCATAATGTGACATGAAGTGGACAAAAATCAAAATAATTATTATTCGATTTTGATCTCATTATTCGATGATATCATCGGTCTATAAGTAAGTAATAATAGTAAGTAAGTAATACTGAAAGAAAAATAAACCAAACTCAATGTTGAATTTCTGTTTGGAAAAATTCCCTAAAATGTCACTATAAATATGTTTACTATTGTCAAAACTGTCTTTGAAGAGTTCAGGATGCAGAAATTTAAATTTGAACACTTAGTTTACATTCAACGGCCAGTAATGGATGTTCGTATGTAAGTTAGTAAAGTTTACTATGGTGTTTAATAAAAGAGATTTGGCGAAAGCATTTTCGCCAAACAAAGTTAAAAAGTTGCCAAAGAAACGAATTTCAAACAATTCAACAAAGCCAAGCACAAGTGGAAGCCCAAGTTTATCCATACAAACTGAATCTGGTTCACAGACGAGTATTAAAGTAATCGTAAGAATACGACCGCAAAATGAGCACGAACAGCAGGGCAATTGTAAAACTGTTTTGAAGATCGTTGACGATAAAATGCTAATTTTCGATCCTAAAGAAGAGGAGAATCCATTTTTTTATCATGGTGTTGCTCAGAAAGGTCGTGATTTGCTTAAGAAACAAAATAAAGAACTGCAATTCATCTTTGACAAAATATTTGACATGACGTCGAATAACAGTGATGTATTTGAAGGAAGTACGAAAGATTTGATTTGCAATCTTTTGGATGGTTATAATTGTTCTGTATTTGCATATGGAGCAACTGGTGCTGGAAAAACTCATACTATGCTTGGTAGTAGCAATGATCCTGGTATCACATACAGGACAGTCGCAGAATTATTTTATCAAATAGAACAGCAGAGTGATCAACGTGAATTTAATTTAGGCGTAACGTATTTAGAAATTTATAATGAAAATGTGCAAGATCTTTTACATAAATCTGGTCCTTTGCATTTAAGAGACGATGGTAGATATGGAGTAATTGTTGCTGGTCTTAAAATAATTGCTATTCAGAATGCTGAAGAATTATTGACACTTTTAGCAAAAGGCAATAAAAATCGCACTCAACATCCTACTGATGCAAATGAGGAAAGTAGCAGAAGTCACGCAGTTTTTCAAGTTTATATTAATATCACCAACAAAATGGATGGTCAAGTACGACAAGTGAAACTGTCTATGATTGATTTAGCTGGTTCTGAAAGAGCTTCTGCTACAGGTTGTAAAGGGGCAAGGTTTAAAGAAGGTGCAAATATTAATAAATCTTTATTGGCTCTAGGCAACTGTATTAATAAGTTAGCAGATGGTGCAAAACATATAACATACAGAGATTCTAAATTGACTCGTCTCTTAAAAGACTCATTAGGTGGAAATTGTCAGACAGTTATGATAGCTAACATAGCACCTTCTAGCTTTAGTTATGAGGATACATACAATACATTGAGATATGCAAATAGAGCAAAGAAGATCAAAACTCATATAAAGAAAAATATTCTATCCTGTGAAATGCATGTAACTGCATATATAAAAATGGTTGAAGAACAAAAGAAAGAAATAAATTATCTAAAACAAAAGCTATTAGCATTTGAAAATAGTTCGCAGCATGTATTACCACAGGGTCAAGGTAATAACATTAATGAGGAAATAGATAAAGCTGCACTAATTGATAGCAATAAATTAATTGAATTACTTCAAAAAAAGAGAATTCTGAATGAAAAAGTCCTTTCATTAGAAAGCGCAGACAAGATATTATGCTGTAGAATACAATATAAGAAAGCAGCAGATGAAAGATTGCATAATCTAACAGCAACTGTTGATACTTTGACGCTTGAAGAACAAAATGCAAGTGGTAAATCAAGAGTTAATAAATCACTGCATTACTTTGAACGACAAAGAGATTCTTTAAAGATACAGATGGAAGCAGCATGGGAGGAACTGTGTTCAGTAGAAACAGAAATACAAAAACTGTATGCAGAAGCAAAGTTAAAGAAACTTGCAAAATTAGAAGATATGTTTGCACTACAAACTAGTGAAATAGAAAATTCTAGATTACAACAACAGTATGAACATGCAAAGAAAGTAAATAATCTTCAACAATGTGAAATAGAGTCTTATTATTCAATGATTAAAATGATGAGTACAACATTACAAAATTATTATAATATGATGAGAGGATATGGAACCATGACAGATACAATGAAGGAAGAATTTAAACAGCTGATCAAATTATTGGAAGGAGTGAGAAATATAAAATGGTCAGATATGGAAACAACTAAACATGAGGAGTGCTTTTATAACTTGACATGCCTTAGTGTACCCCATTTAATGGATCCCCTTAATAGTAAGATACCTATATATGTATTACAACCTTTAAATGATCAAGATGCATTGGATGCAACTTTCAATACATTTTGTTCTGAAAAAGAAGTGTTTGATACACAGAATGTAACTATCACATTGGAAGAAGAATCAACCATGGATTGTAATACTGATATGAAAGTAATAAAGGAAAGTACAGAAGAAGGACAAAATGTAAATTGTATACAAGAAAAAGTTAAAAAGCGTATCCTTTCAGATAAAAATAATATGAATGTAACAAAGACTCCTATCAAACAAGCAAGGAAGATATCCCCTAAATGTAAGGATATTACAATCTGTACAATAGGAATCCAAGATAAAGAAAATAAAAAGTATATGCAAAAGCCACATGTAACAATGAGCGCTAAAAGTATAACCATATTAAATAAGTTAAAAGCAGATAAACTCAAGAAAGAAAATCTTGATATAAATACATCAAATAGAGGATTGAAAGCAGTAAGGGAGAAAGAAAGAAGGAGATTAATGTCAACGCATCCCTATCAAAAACTAAAAGAAAAACAAAAGTAAGTGTAGGTTTTAATAAATTGCAATACAATTATTGGCATTGTTTAACAAAAAAGAATCGATAAGTCTTTCTAAGTTAGTATATTAATCTATAATGACAATGGTCCTAAATTATTAAAACAAAAAATTTTTGATATTGTTTAAAGAGATAAATTTCCAAATTTTTACAAGTAATTCAATATTTTTCATTTAGAATAAAAATTATGACATTGTTGCAGATTCTGTCCAGTTCTACCTTCGTCAAAAATTCCATGATAGCGATAGTAATAATATGAAAAGTAATTTAACAACAAACAAATGTATATGTAATCTTTTATGTTGGAGCCAGAAAGACAATAGATGGAGGTCTGACTAAATATTTTATATTTTTAGTGACATATAAGTACAAAAAATTTATAGCATAAAGTAACATTATAATAAGCATAAAAATGACATTCTAATAAGAAAAATAATAATTATAAAATCTTGAAGATGTTAGTTATAAAATTGAAATTATATAAAATTATGCAATGTTATAAAGGTGCGAATGTACCTTCCAATTGTATTTGTTTAGTAAAAGTATTTGTGGATTTATGTTGCTTTTTAATGATATTTTAATAAATGATCATTTATAGACTGAATATCGAAAAAAGAACACAGGAAAGTAAAATAACATCAATTTACATTTATCTTATAAGGTAGCATTTACATAATGTTTCATATTGTGGTGCAATAGTCAGAAACACCTGCAGGAGAGAAACTAATTTGTGGAATATTGTTGGATAAGAATGTATGGTTACATCAATGAATATTGCAAATGAAAATTGTTTGCCTCTTAGTTGTGGTATGTTTAATGCATGACTATCATAGGTCAGAAATGAGATATGCTGTAATTTATGAACTTAATTGCTTTTTAAGTTATCAAAGATGCAGAAGTATTTTTAATTTAAATGAAATAAACGTAATTGAACTTAAATTTTAGGTTTTTATTTGTAAATATCCTAAATTTATTTTTTCTTTTTTGTATTGCATAATGCAACCTGTATTCCAAATATATGGTATAGCACTTAATGATATGTCTTTATATACCATAGTCCGTGTCTGGTGGTAAACAATTTTGTCGAAATAAAAAATTATTGTACAACTACTTCCATAATCCTCTAATTTTTTATATAATAAAGTATAAAAACTTACCTTTTCAATTACATTATATCACATTATCACAGTTTTATGTTTTTCTTTACACATGAACGTTCTATAACAGTTAATACAGTTAAACTAGGAATGATAAACATTACAAACTCAATATTTTTATTTACTTATTCTTTACTTATTTTTAAAATCATAAGATTTTAGGTTTAACACATTTTTAACAGCTTGTTTGTATTTATTGATTGAAAATTGATCTTCTCCTTTATTTATTAAATCAGAAACTGCAATTTTATATTCTGTTACATGTGGGATGTATTCATAGTTGGAATCAGTTGGCATGTTTGGCCAACTATACATGGACGTTAAAGATTTTCTGCTTTTACTTTTATCCCAGTCATAATATTCCATATCTACTTCAGATTTTTCTGTTTCCCATGGTTCAAAACGCTAAAAACAATTCTTGTTTGATTTGCTTTGCTTGTATGCTATATTTATCAGAAAATTGATATAATTAATGGGAAATGACTTACCCAAGATACATGAAACAATGCAGTTAGTAGGTACTTTACATAATCTAAATTCTGTTTTCTAGATGGACATCTGTCTGCAGTTATTGTTATCATATCTGTGTTAGGATTATACCTATCACCCAGTAACCTAAGTATTTTATCTTTAGCATGAGTACTTAAATGCAAAGAGGATAGTCTTACTCTCAAATTAACTATTCTAGCAAGAGGTTCTCTTATTGTAGGAGAAGAATAGCAATAATCAGATGTAATTATTTCAACAGGAAAGTATTTTACACATGCTTCATTTGTTTCCAATTCTTCTGGCCATCTCGTACAAAATTTTTTTAATGCTTCGCAATGTTTTTTAATAACAGGTGGAGTAAGATGTAAGAAGTTTGGAATTTTCAATAACTCTGCATTTCCATATTTATTAGGATGTATACCTTTTGTATTTTTATATCCTTGTTGTAAAGGAAATGGTACGATATCAGGATGAAATGTTCGTGCAGCAGGCCAAATTGTCTGCCAATCTTGATTAGCTGACACTTCACTTCTTCTTTTAATTACTAAATCCACAATTGTGTTTCTTTGTAACCTTTTGTTTGTAACTTTCTTTTCACTTGGCACTAATTGCAATACCCGAAATTCTATGAAAGAAAGTATATATAAATTAAAAATGCGCACGAGCACTACGTAATAAAAATATGTTTGTGCTTTTGTAAAAAATTATATTTAATAGGAAGTTTGGTTAGAAGAACGTTATAATACCTATATCATCATCGATGCTCGCAGAAGATGATAACGAAAGTTTCATGATTTTTAATGGCGTTATAATATTTTGGGTTTCGTAACGTCTTATTAGCGATAACATTTTAACAATTATTTCTTGATACTTTGTTAATAACCTTAAATTATGTTTTACGGTTTACACAGCGCAGAGACCTATCTAAGAAAATAGTTCCTAAACGGCTCAATTCTGTATATACATATATGCGCATGTGCATATTGTTTTTAACTGTATAACGAATGTTGTTATAATATAATACATAATTAGATAGAAATTTAATTTTATTTATTTTTTATTTAACTTCAAATACAAAATCCGTTTAAGTAAATGTAAACGACATTTTTGTGTGAATGATAATCTACTCTGTAACAAATAATCTTTCTTTATTTACATATAATCTTTACATATATCTTTTTTTATATGATCTGAAGTTCTGAAGAATATCCGAGGAAGTATGACATATTTTAAATGAATTAAAACATTTCTAAAGAAAACCGCGATTGAAATGTATGTATATGCTACAGTAGATGTTACTATATGATTTCTATGAATTAAGATGTCAGGATGTTTTTCGAAATAGTTTTACTTTTAAGGATATGTCTAAAATAATTAAAGATTACAAAAGTTGATAATTATGAATCTATGCAATCTAAGCAACGATAAAGACGTAAATGTACTTAAAACTGATACTTGCAAAGTTCGTTTCAACATAGATGCTCAAAAAAGATCTGAAGTACACATGCATATAATATAATGTATGCATATACAATCGATGTTTGTAAATGTGGTTAAAGGTTGGTATTTCGAGAGATGACATCCTTCATTCTTCGGATTATTTTTGATGAACGTTGGTGTTGAATATGTCGTCTCCACGTCCAAAATCTCCACGACCTCCTATTTCTACGAGGAAGGATGAAAAAGAAGAAAGTTTCTGGGATAAGATTGGGACCTTGGGTCGAAAAAAGCGTATCAAAGAAGGTATCATACTGCGTTTACATTACGTTGTGACAAGTTAACTTTGCTTATGCTTCTTTTACGAGAATTTACGGGATATATTTCCTTATATGGTACGAGTAGCTTCAAACTTTAAAAAATGATATTGTTGGTAATGTCGATGTTCGATTTGTATTTTGTAAATGTTTTTTCTTAAAGTTACTGTTTATGTTTATTTTGAATTTTTTTGATATAGTGCAAGAGGTACAGGAGGAAGGGAAGTATGCAATTGATTCACCAGGATTTGCAGCCAATCCAGAGATGCCACCAGAAGAATATGCATTAGATGAAAACGAGGAACGTTCAATGATAGAGCCTAGGTCTTTGGAAGATTCTAAACTCAAAGAATTAATATTTGTCCTGATTGAATGGATCAACGATGAATTAGCCGACCAGCGGATTATTGTTAAAGATATTGCAGAAGATTTGTATGATGGACAGGTACTACAGAAACTATTGGGTATGTTATATAATAGCAAAATTGAATAGAATTCTTCTAATACATGGAATCTAAGTAGGCATATTTTTTTTATTAATTTTAGAAAAGTTGACGGGAAAGAAGTTAGATGTACCTGAAGTGACTCAATCAGAAGAAGGTCAGAAACAGAAATTAGCAGTTGTGTTGTCAGCTGCTAATCAAGTATTAGGACGCCATCCTCCTTACAAGTGGAACGTAGAATCTGTTCATTCGAAAAACATTGTTGCCATTTTACATTTATTGGTTGGTTTGGCAAGGCAATTCCGAGCGCCTGTTAGATTGCCAGAAAGAGTAGCTGCTCAGGTTGTCGTTGTGCGTAAGAAGGATGGCCAGCTAATACACAGAACGGTTAGAGAAGAAATTACATCGACGTACGATGATTTGGGAATGCGTTGCGAACGGGACGCTTTCGACAGTCTTTTTGATCATCCGGCTGATAAATTAGCTGTAGTTAAAAAGGTATGTTGTTCATTTGTGTTATAAAAAATTATATGCTCTCTACAATGCAATACATAGTTCTATTTTCTAGTCATTGATTTCTTTCGTCAATAAACACTTGAGTAAAGTTCATTTGGAGGTGACAGATTTAGATACGCAATTTCATGATGGTGTTTTTTTAACTCTTCTACTTGGACTTCTCGAAGGCTTTTTCGTACCTTTAGGTAGTTTTCATTTGACACCTAAAACACACGATCATAAGGTACATAATGTTTCATTTGCATTTGATATTATGCAAGATATTGGTCTACCAAAACCCAAGGCTCGCCCAGAAGGTTGGTATTGTTGTTAACTGCAATACTTATGAAATATCGGAACTAAATGAATGTGACTGGTGACATTATATTTTGTTTGCAGATATTGTAAATTTGGATCTAAAATCAACTCTACGAGTATTGTACAATTTATTCACAAAATATAAAAGCATGAATTAAGTTAATAAATAATTTAAAGGAGGATAAATATAATAAGATTTGAACAAATTAATGAAAGTTAATTAGTGTTGCTAATGTTACTAACGTTACTAACCAAAGAATATGGTTTTCATAATTGGTATGCGAGCAATGTACTTTTGCATATGATAATGGACAACGGACAAAAAGAGTGAGGAATAATAGATGTAGTAGAAGCGAAATAGAAAGGATGTTGTCATGTCTTTAAAATCTAATATTTCTTCAAAATTATAATCCTTATGTTATTATTCAAATTTATTCAAGTTAAATATAGTTGTACGAATTTTATACATTCTTATGAAGATTCTAAGAAATATAAAAATTTTACTTTTTAAATCTATCTGATATTTTTTATCCCTGATTATCCCTGATAAATTGTTTTCATCGGCGCCTAGTACAAATTTTGAATTCTTTTTCTTTCCTTTTTATTATTATTAATGCTCGAGAACAAGGAAATGATTCTTAGAAATTTTACAAGTTTCAACGCACATTTTCAAAATTGCTTTCGTAACGTTTAATTTAGCTATGCTTTACGCGACGGAGGATGCGAAAGAACAAGCGCATAAACTGTTGGATAAAATATTTAGCATTGCTGATCAATTTCAAGTAATTTACCAACTTCAGAAGATAAATTATACATTGTTATCAAGCGGTCGATTGATATATAATGGCAAAGCAGAACAGCGTAATATGTATCGATCGATCGTTATTCAGATGTAACTTGTCTTGGGAATGATGCTTATGCATTGATTCAGGTAGAATTGCCGTCGCAATTTCAACGATGTCGAAAGAACTAAAAATATATAGAAAGTATGCTAGTTTCGTAAAACGTTTTCTCCTCCTTAGTGGGATGTGTCCGATTACGAAGAAGCGGGATGTATTTTATCGGTGCATATCAATTTGGTCGATATTTTCCTCTTTCATTTCACTCTGCGTCGTAGGAAATTTTTGCTCACAGAATGTTCAGAATATCGCTTTGCTTACCGCTTCGTTTTCCCTCTTCTGTGCCATATTGAATACAACTATGAAGGTTTGTAAGTTTATCTACATATATTTTAAAAGAATCCATTTCATTCATATAACCGAATTGTCACTTCTAACATTTAAATGTGTCATACGTATCCTGCCTTCAAATTCAACGAATCCGAGTTGTAGGCAAACAAAGATATTCAAGATACGTGATTCAATTTATGTAATTGAAACATGAACGATCGAAATTTTTTATCGACATTTTACAACAAGATACTTTTTGCTTTTTTAGGCTTGCTGCTTTTTCATCTATCAAAATAAACTGCAACAAGCAAATGATATACTCAGTTCTATGTTGGAACAAGCACTAAGCGAAACAGATATAGGATCAATAGCTTTTTCCTGGGTTCGAACGTTTTATCGATTGATTTATCTACAGTTTACGTTAATGGCAATCAACAGCACTATACACGCATTTAAACCGTTGATTACGAGAATACTTTACAACGCGAACAATACAACAAATCTACAATATCCTTTACCCTTTCCTGCAAGTTATCCTTGGACGATTGATTCAATGTTAGTCTGGCAATTGCATTATCTCTTTGATTTGAATATTGTTTGGAATATAATCTCTGTATCTACCGGTGTAGATGGATTTTTCAGCTTTTGCTTATTTCGTATATCGGTAATGTTACGTTTGTTGGGTTTTGAGTTCGAGATGAGATTTTCAACTGACGAGAAGAATAAGGCGAATAAAGAGTATGAGGAGAATCGTAAACGGATCTTTCAAGAATGCGTCAACAAGCACGCTCTGTTACTGAAATGTCGAGACATTGTTCAAGAAGCTTACGGACCCGTCATACTATTAACAACAATAACGAGCGCAACGAGTCTATGTACTTTAATATTTCAGGTTTTGCAGGTGAGAGTCCCGATAAAGATAATCGAGAAAATACTTTGCACAACATCTGTTTACTATTTACATATTTAAGCTCAGTTAAATTTGAGATTCTATCGATTTTCATTTGGCCTTCTTTCTATGCATGCGTAAATATCTATAATAACTAAAACGATTACTTAACGGGTTGGTTGTTTGACAGGTTAAAGGACAAATTATGGGTAAAATCATAATGTGTACTGTTTTCATTTTTATGAAATTATTACAAACGTTCCTGTACGCCTGGCCTGCAGACGTAATTCTTATTGAGGTTCGTAGATGTACTTGCTTGTTGTCGTCTCGAGTTATCGTCATCTCAAATTGTTCCTTAAACTAGCGAACGTCGATTATACGTAGACTTGCAATCAGCCTCCTTAATCTTCGTTTCCTTCGTAGAGCGATCGTTTTCGTCACAAGGTTTATTTTAGCGATTGGTACAAACACAAGGATACTAGTTTCGCAAAAGGCTTTACGCTGATATTAGCACAGAGATCGATAGTTCTGAAAGCGTGTGACTTGATGCAAGTTTCATTGGATCTTTTTGTTAAGGTAATCTATCTTTCGATTTAATCATTTTCAATACACCTGTCTCGTGTATATTTCCAGGTTTTGAATACCGCAGTATCCTACTATTTCTTGTTAGAAACCATTGATAAGGATAAATAATATAAATGAAATTGGTACTGATATAGTATCACGATAGTAAGAGTACCTAATAATGATGATTACGATGATAATAATAGGGGAAAAAGACATCGAAAAGAAAAAGCATAATAGCTTTGTAAAATACAGTTTTCGACGATCTTTAAGCTGCAAAACGATTTGTACGAATTGTGTATTTGCCTAATCATAAGTAGAGCAACAGTAAGCTACCAAGTCAACGCTGTTTTTTCTCTTCTTTCTTGGTAGATGGTAAATAAAAGCAAGATAATGCGTATTACAAATATATTTCAAGTTTGTAGTCTATTCTTTGAAAGTTTACAATCAAACCTAATCCATTTTTTGTATTCTAAATGGATTAAGATAATAAGTAAAAATATTTTCATCCGTTCATTTCGTTGCTTGCTTGCTTGCTTTCTTTCTTTCTTTCTTTCTTTCTTTCTTTCTTTCTTTCTTTCTTTCTTTCTTTCTTTCTTGCTATCTTCCTTTCCTCCTTCTCCGTTTTTTCTTCCTCTCTTTTCGTAATGATTAACAAATTTCACCTTTATGATTATCGTTCTAGAAATCTGCAAGGATAGGTTCAAGTTCGTACCAACAAGTACGTACCGTTTTGACATTTATTGGTCTGTTTGTGACATGTTGTGCGACGCTCCAGTTATCCATTCGGTTATCTACAAACATATATGTACATACACGTATATAGTATATATCTAAGTATACATGGATATTTGATAGAGAATGTACGGAATAAATGGGGCGATGCACGGAAGAGACACGAAACAGGCTGAGAAGAATTGCCGAGGAGGTCGACTTATCGTGATCGGCTCATTGCGAATTGCGATTTTCGTTTATACTCATGTAAACTGATAGACGCGATATCGAGAAAGATATTACCGAATCACGCGACGTTGCGGCGCGGGACGTTCTTGTACTTTCTTTGTTCTCCTCTTTAAGGCCTGTGGTATTCGACCGCGTGCCCGCCATACCATATCTCTCGTTCTACACTTAACCTGCGTTTTCTGCTCTTTTTCGCCTTATATTTTTTCCATCTTCCGGTAAGTTAATTGAACTTATTATTATTATCTTTATTTCTATTTTTCAATCTCTCAATTGTGTTATATTACTTTATGTATGTTTTATTCTCTTTTACAATCGTCATTATTATTCCTTCTCCCTCTTTGCTAACTATTTCTACATCTTTTTCCTCTAAACTCTTGGTCCTTTTTTTAATTCGTCACACATTACATATTTACTTTTACTTCTAAGTATTACAGTTTGAGACTGCCAAGACTTAAGAAAGCAGGGATATTTCGCATAAAAAAGTAAATTAATTTTCATCGTTTACATTTTCTCGTTAAAAGGAAAAGATCGTTTCTAACGAAGACGAGAGACTCGTACAGTATGAATAATAAAGAGGACGATGAAAATGCGAAATTAGACGGTTGTTTAAAGCTAAACATCTGTTCTCGCAAAAGGAACATGTTCGAGGAATACTCTAAGATCTTTCGTATCTTATTGGCAAGTTGGAAAGAAAATTACGGTCAACTTCGCAACGATGAATTTAACGAAAACTTAGAAGACCTGATTTTACCGAGCAACGAAGACTGGCGTTACCGAGTCTATTATCGACTGGTTGAACTGCAAAGAGAATGCGACGTCGATTTTGTAAAAAGAAGGTAATGAAGCTATCTTTACGGCCGTAAACGATGAGTTTACGAATGAGTTTTCACTTGAAAAGGATCGTCAAAAACGCGTGCACATCGATCAGTTACTCCTACTCGAAGAGGTTGCTTCTACTTATAAATAGTTGTTAATCATTTTATGGCCTTAGATACGTAACCTGCGCTTTGCAAATTCAAATAACGATACGAATGTCGCTTTTCTTTTCCAACCTGAATTCGTTCAATATCGATCGATCTGTTTCTATATTTTGTCGATTTAATTTTGGACTGTGCGCATCCGACTTGATTTTCCTTTTTAACCATTAATCTTGACACGCTCATGTTCGTTCCGTATGACTGAAACTGTAGAGAGATTCGAATTAATCGGACCATGTCGATAGTACGTTTTGATCTTTGTACAAAAGTACAAACAAACGAAAACTACAAATAATGGAGAAGTAAGTAAGACGCGTTTCGCGAAACCCTGTCGTGAATCTAATTCAATGACAATAAGGGAATGGTGTATACATAAGTAGTAATGAAACCGAAGGGTCGAAGAAACCGGATTGGGGACGGAAATGGAAACGAAGTTGGAAGCGGAAAGGAATCGAAAGAAGAACGATTGGGAATGGGAGCCAAAGAAGCATGGACACAGTTTGACGATGGTTAAGCCTAGAAAATATGGAAGCGAAGAATCGAAGGGAGGATCGTTGATGAGCGTCGATAGGATCAGCGGTTCGATGATAGAATCATGCGTTCAACCAGGTTGGCGCGTTAACGATATTCTGTTAGCCGCGAAAGTTCTTCGGAAAGTGCAGCCTTCTCCTATGTACTCGGACGAGGCCGAGATGCGTCGTGTATTTGGACTTGTCTACGACGTTCTCAGATGTAAGTCGAGGAACGAGTCCACGCGTTCTCATCCGATTACGAATTTCACGTTCGAATTTTTCTCTCGTCGCATTCCATAATTTTCTGTTCTTTCGTATAATTTAGACAAAAAGATATTCGTTCGTGCCTTGGAGGATATAGGATTTTGGCAGCATAATAACGCGATCAAAGATCGAGAAAAGATCGTTTGGTTGTTGCTGTACGATTTACAAGGAAGAAAATTTGCGAAGCCACAGTTCGAGACCGCCAATTTCGAAGAACGCGAGAAGATCTTTGAGGTACGATTTCTTTTTTCTCCTTTTGCTTCGTTTCATTCTCCCGCGCTTTTTCACCTTTTACTCTACTTGTCTCTCTGTTACCGATCTCCACCCCTGCATATGTACGCGTGTATTGAAAATGTATTCGACACGTTGAAATTGTACGTATCAGGCTGCTGGCTTAGCGGATGTCGAGAACGCTCTTCTGAATGTGAAGACTCGCCTCGCGGCAAGTATTTCCAGGCTACGGATCCGCGGCTCTGCCCTCAACCTCGGTGAATATTTTTCCTCCGACGTGATAGAACTTTGGTAGAGACTGACAATGAGTATCTAGCTAAAGAAAACAGCGTCTATATATGTATTTATTATTACTGTTATATTCCAAATCTGAAAGATGAATTGTTGCCGAGCCAATTGCGCGTTATCGAAGGCGTCGCTTGGGGTGTACAAGCTAGGATCGCTTCCGGATGGATAAACAGCATGAAAATCGTCAACAAGATAGAATTCCTGGAGGAAATGTCGAAACTGAAATTGACGTATTGCGAAAGCAAAGGAGCGAAGGTAGAACTTGAAGAGAATGAGTATGCGTTCGATCCTATTTGTCCGAAGATGGTTCATTTACACGAAAGCATGCGGGAAATGCTGGCTGTTTCCAGTATCGTTCGTGATCACCGTTTCGTATTTCTGGTAGGTAGCCGAGAAACCAAGAAGATGCTTTAACTTTAACCATGGCTCGTTCGAATGAACAGGAAAGATCATTGTGTATTGGCGCGGCAGCGTTGGTACAGGCGATTCGCGTCGGTCGAGTCTACGGCCCGGTCATTTTAACGCATTCCCTTGCACCTCGACACACTGGATATCTGGCTGGTCTTTTGGCCGATATCGAGCACGCTGGTAAACTCCTGGCCTTTGGAGCTGGCGATCGTCGTTGCGAGTACGAGACTTACCTGAAAAACCTCGGCATCACCTTGCAACGGTGTCACGTCTTCTCCGAAAAGTATCTTTCCAATTTCTTTTTATTGAGTATCAGTTTTATTAAAAGTATCTTTTTATTCATTCGTAGACTCGATATTTTCTTGTTAACACGTTCATCGCCCAGCGTGTTTCGGCTATGTTTCCTGCGGGGCCCAAATCCGACCGTGGCTACGTCCAGTGACCCGCTATGTCACTTCGAGCCCGTACCCATCGTCATAAGGCCAGATTGGAACATTAAAACTATTTCTTATTTTTATTACTTAAGTGTAGCTATGGTAAATGTCTAGACTAGGGTATTGGGTCTTTTCCCAACATTCCAGATGGGAAATCCCGATGTTCTTTCATCTCCGACAAATATATTTAGTTCTGAAATGGAGAAAGCGATAAACTTTCCAGCTAGAGTATTCCGAGGGATCTCATAGATATCTCAGATCTTTGATTTAGTCGAGACGCATACTTGTGAGACGTACATCAGTGATTTTTTCATCCTCAAAATGTTCAGTAAGCAGTATGAAAATATATTTGGATAAAATGTTCAGTAAACAGTGTGAAGATATATTTGAAAGTGAGGAGAGTAGTGATGACGAAGTAGTGAATTTTAGAAAAAAAATTATAAATAGAATTTCATCGAGTTCGAATATTGAGGAAGCCACGGTCGGATTTGGGCCCCGCAGGAAACATAACCGAAACACGCTGGGCGACGAACGTGTTAACTCGAACAAGAAGAGCGTCACCATACGTTGGTAACGGCGCCCCCACGGAAGTATACCCGTCGCACGAATATGTGCAACGTGGCGACGAACGTGCCTCGTTCAGTGCGGACATGACTCAAATACACGCGTTTCATCGATGTATAAAACTTCGCATTGGATCTGTTAAACGAAACGTTTTAATACACGAATGATTTATATTTCCTTAGGTACGCGTCTCATCTGACGACGAGCGAATCAGAGAGGGCCACCGTAGTGTTAGCGGTGCCATCGTGTACCTACACAGGGGTCAGAGATATCGTCGATCTTGCAGTGGCACGAGGTGGAGACGTGGATCTTCTCGAATCGTTAACGGATGGCTATACCAACAGCCTTCACGACGACATTGACGACAACTACGAACGACAGGATAACAATTGCGAAGACGAAAAGAATTATAACGATCATGAACAGTGGCGTACTTTCTTGACCGATCAAATGTCCACTTTGAAATATACTTTGACCAGGCCAAATGTACAATTCGTCGTATACGAAGTGCACACGATTTTACCTTCAGAGACAACGGAGATGGTTCGGCAGGTGGTAGACTGCGTTAATCGGATGGCCATGGAGAAGTACATTCGCGAACATCCGGTAAAATATCCATAAACTCATTGCTTTTAGCTTGCTAGTTCGTATCGGTTATAAGGTGCTTCGTTATTTATCGCAGAGGAAAGCGCCGAAGGAATCATCGAAATTGGTCAAGATGGACGAGGAATTGCGAAAAGACGATCATACCTCGACACTGTCCGCGAACATTACCGTAAGGTTTATCTTGATGTAATATAGCAGTACGATAGGTTCTATCCGCGCTTCCTTTCATAAGCTCGTTGAAAGATTTTTCTTAAAATATAAGATCCCAGACAGCGATCTCTTCGAAGTGAGCAGCATCGACGATATTTACGGAGAGAACGTTAGTGATATGTTAAATCCAGGATGCTTTCTCGTGGTAATAAAACGAAAAGAAATGGTGCAATTCGACTCGCTGTTTATGATCAAAGTAGCAGAATCGAAGGGTTTGTTCGGCGATCCGAAAGCGCAACAGCGATCGAAGCAGGAGTCCGTCATCGATCAGTCGATTCGGCAATCCTTGCAAACAGGCGCACAAAAACGAGCAAAGCGTGTCAAGGTTGGTTTCGCCTTTTTAAATATTTTTAACTCGACTACTCTATCTTACTATATCTTCCTTTTCATTTCGAGAATCTCCATCGCAACAAATATACGTATACAATCAACTGTGCGTATGAACTTCTTAACATTTGAATTGGAAGAATACTTCACACGCTCTTGGTTTCTCTTCTCTACTTGTAGGTGGAGATCGAGCGTATAATGGCACATACGTACTCCTCGTTATCGAAAAGCGTACAAGAAAATCAGATTTGTCCACGGCACAAACGATGCGCCAGTTGGGAGGAAGCGACTGGATTGCAGGTAGAGGAAGCATGCTCCATTCACGATGATGCATAGAAACAGAAACGTTTACGTTCGCGTTTTAACCACGCACGAGTTTGCAGTGGTAATCGCGTATTGGTAGAAAGCGAAATTTCAATTTTTCAATATGCTTAATTTATTTAAATGTACAGCTACTCATCTTCCGTTGACTATTTTTGCTTAATACGCAATTTCACATCCTGATTCTATCGTTAGCCGATACTTTAACCGATATTGTACGTCCATATATCTACAGGTATTCGAAAATGCAAAGTTAGACGTTAAAACGTGGCGAAAGCAAAAGAATAGTGCGAATCCTTCGAACACACCTCTATACGCAACTTCGTCACGGAAAAAGGTAGCTAACTATTATAAGTATTAATATAAGTACTTGTAATTTTACATTACAATACATATGATCGCTATTTTGAAACATCCAGGAATTAGAAGCGATACGCTCGATCTTTTCACCGCAATCCGAATTCAAAGCGTCCACGTTGCATACAGAGCCGAAGCAAAAGAGATCTTCGTCCACATTGACTAACTCGCTCAACATCGAATCTCTGCCCCGGTAATTCTCATCTCGTTAATTCGATTTCTTCTTCTTTAAATCGATTTCTTTTTCTTTTCGTGAATCACCTAAATGTCTTTGTCATTCTCATTAAATTGTTTTATACTTATCGACATATAGCGAGGAATGGAGCCATGCTACTTCGTCGATTTTGAGGTCACCGATTGTTGCTAGAGCGGCGCGTCTTATTCGTCTGGAGGATTCCATCGATAGCGAGAATTACGAGGAAGCGAAGAAGCAGACGCGATCAAAGACAGGCCACCGATACTGGGCATCGAGGAAGACGTCTCGTCTATTACATCCTGTTGGATCACCATCCAATGTGTACAGCTCGCTCTTTGATATCGTTTAAGATAATTACCGGGACGCTTACACATGTTCGAGACGTTGTTCGCTCGAAGATATATCGTTCCTGACCTTTTTTCGAATTTCTAGCTATTTAAAATCAAGATTGTACGAAAATATCCAACACGAAATGTTCAAAGCACACCGGTTGCGGTCAAACATACAAAATAAATCAATTATTCGTAGTATTGAAAGTTTAATAAAGTCGCAGTAATGGTTCCGCATATTATACATATTATATTTATCGGTGACAATAATCTCTTTAGATATTCTGAATATGACAAATCAAATGAAAAATTTCGCAGTATGGAAATAAAAGAAGTTAGAAGAATAGCGCGTGGCGTGCTGTTATACGAATAACGAGAAAGGAGAGAAAATTGACAGCAAACAGAGTTTCGTTTTCATTGAGAGCCTGTTAGCGTATAATTTATACGTACAATTATATGTAATGTTGGTTGCTATGAGATCCATGGTATTTATGGAATCTATGGGAATGGAATTGAAGGATGTAAATGTGGATATATGAACTATGCATTTGTGCGTTTGGATGCGAGTTAAGGAAATTGCCACCAGTGAATCGTCTTCTAGCGTCGAATACGGCTGAAAAGGTGTTGCAAATGTGATTTCGAAAGTAACCTGTTTGGAAAAATGAAACTGAAACAGAAGAACTACCAATAAAAGAAAAAGTTACAATTACGTTTCGCATTTGTTTCCAATCTTCTTCGATCCGTAGAACGATATTTACGATGATACGAAAATTGCAATTTTGATTAATGTTTGAGAAAATTACGAAATCATCGCTTGAAACTTTCATCGATGTTTAACACAGGAAACATCGGACGGCAATCTTAATGCAAATCGATGAACGACAAAAATAATGAATCTCGAATTAAACCTTCGGCATATGAAACAACGAGACGTTATAACTAAATGGTAGCTAAATAGAAGAAGAATGTATCTCTTGAGATTATTGAGAAGTCGTCTGAATCTTCGATATCTCTTTTTTTCTCAACGAAGAAACGTAACTAAAAATGTGGTGTCGGAAACGGTAAAAAATCGCAATTTGCAGTTTCTATACTCTTGAATAACGCCAATAACGAGACAGCAATTAGGATGATTTGATGGAATTACTGGGGGCTCCTCGTTTTCCACTTCACCTAAGACAATAACATTCGTTTGATTTTATTCGTCAAATAATGCACATGCATACAAACGATTAAAAGAAAACTTACGAAATACATATCCATATATTACATAATATACATATACATAGTATAGTACATAATATAGCATATAGTATATATATATATAGTATAAAGGTGCCGTCAGGCTATCAATATATATTGTCAATATTTCAATGTTCTCAATTAGAAGACGAATCGATATGTATTGTCAATACAATATTGTCAATATTTCTTGACAGACCACGTATTTGTTGAAAACATTGGAATATTGACAATATTACGGATTGTTCAAGGGAACCCAAAGTAATAGATGGAAGTAAAAGTAAAATCGCCTGGAATTCAGGTGAATTTCTGTGCCCTGATTGGGGTTTGGTTAGTTGGCAAATAGCAGCTCTGATTCGATCTGCAAAAATGGCGGTAATACTTTCGAGTTGATCCTTTTGTTGTTGCGTCTCTTTTAATAATTATTCGTTTTTTTTTAACCGATAAGAAAGATCTTCATTTAGACACCGGTTCAGACAACAATGGAACGAACACGTGCTTTTCTTGTGTTGCTTAGAAATATGAATTGTATCGTTTGGAGAGCGGACCCTCGGAGAAAATGACAATGAACGAAGAAGAAGCAACTTACGCGTTGAAAACGATGATCTACATCAGACGAATGGAAAACAAGGCGGCGGAATTATATAGATTGCGCTTGATCAACGGTTTCCTTCATTTATATTCTGGTCAGGTAGAATTTACGATTAGCCGAATTAACCGGACGTCGCGTCATCGCGAGAGCGACGATAACAGAAAAAGAAAAGAGAAGAGAGCGAAAGAGAGGAAAGAGAGGAACCATCTGTAAAAAAGAGAACTATGTATTTGCGCAGGAAGCAGTAGCCGTTGGTACAAAGATGTCGATAATGGAAAAGGACAGTTTGATCACAGCTTACCGATGTCATGGTTTCGCAGTGGTATTCGGTGTATCGGCACGAGAAATATTCGCGGAGCTGATGGGTCGTAGGACTGGAATTTCGAAAGGAAAAGGTGGATCTATGCACATGTACGGGAATCAATTTTTCGGAGGCGACGGGATCGTCGGCGGTCAGGTAGAGAAGTGTAACGCTTGTCCTTCTTGATCGGCAAATTAGCTTCTACTTGATAGATACCGGTTGGCGCTGGGTTGGGATTCGCTCAAAAATACAATGGCACGGGTGGAGTTGCTTGGGCGTTTTATGGGGATGGTGCTGCGTCTCAGGGTCAAATCTACGAAGCATATAACATGTCGAAATTATGGAATCTGCCGGTGGTATTTGTATGCGAAAATAATAAGTACGCGATGGGAACGGTAGTGCAGAGGCATTCGGCTAACACCAACTTCTACACGCGAGGAGATCTAATTCCAGGGGTGAAGGTAAGGAAGAGTGGAGAACAAAGAAGAGCAACGCGTTCGTTTCTTTCGCGTGTTTTTCTTATTTCAGGTAGATGGCATGAGAGTGATGGATGTTCGCGAAGCTGTGAAATTTGCTAGAGACTACGCTCTTAGGAACGGTCCGATTCTGCTTGAGATGGTCACCTATCGATACTTTGGTCACAGCATGAGCGATCCTGGCACCTCTTATCGTACCAGAGACGAAGTGAAGAAAATACAAGCTGAACGAGATCCTATCGAGTTATTGACCAAACTGCTCGTGGAGAATGGTGTGAAAACCGAAGCGGAAATTCTTGTAAGACCGCACGCGCGTGTCCGCCTCACCTTCCGTCCGTTACCCCTTCCTCTTCTTTTCACTCTCGCTTGATCCCAACCCACTCCCTGTACATTAGGAAATTAGGAAAAGCACGTACAAAGCAGTGGACAAGGAAATGGAACAAGCTAAAGCCGACCCGTACCCGGAGATGTCAGAAATCGCAACGGATCTTTACGTGAAACCATTGGAAAAAACGCGCGGCAAAGCACCTTGGGAAACTCATTAAAAACGGAATCAAATTTTTCCTCTATACCCTTTTTTGTACTGGTTCTAGATTTATCAGTAAAATAAAGTAATATCGAATCGAAGCATTTTACGTCACGAAATTGGTCGAAATTCATAGAGAAAAAAAAGAACACGTCGTAGAGTATGCTATGCGAGTGGCTATGTTTGTTTCTCACTGGTTTTCTTACTCCGCCAATTGGAATGATCAATTAAAACATATCGCGCTGCGTCAAGTCACGATCGAGAAAAGGAAAGCATGAAGCAAGGAGAATAAAACATGACGAAGACAGAAGGTTATTACAGCAAAAGGGAACGGTTGAAATAGAGTGAGTCAATCGTTCAGAGGAACATTGTATGTATATATGTATGACAGAACGAGAGTAAAAGAAAGAGAGGGAGGAAAGATTCCAGCGAGTAGCGTTAACGAACGACAGCGACAGTCAACGAGACAGTCTTTGCGGGAGCCGCCTTCGGTTGCTCCCACGTGCAGTTCAGCTCGTTGAATCTTAACGAGCTTACATCGAGAGGTAATTGTACATTTTCTGCGTCCAGAAGATACTCTTTAAAAAGATTTCGTTTGGGCAATAAAGTTGTCGATTGATAATAGCGATCGAATCGAGCAGCACAAGTGAGAAAACTTAAGAGAATCTGCGTAATGTTTATCGCGAAAAATGAAGCAAAATCAGATAAATATCAACCGTTCCTCGATACGACGATTTGAAACGATTTAAAATACGGCAGTAGACACAGCAAAGAACTTACAGGTGAGATTGTTTGACCATCGATTCCGTCATACGATAACCACGACTCAGGATTTGCTTATCATTTGTATTTTATTCGAATGTTAGAACAAACGTAAATGTTTAAAAACGTCATTAAACGATGTTGGTTCGTTTGCACGATCAATGACATTGGGATTAACGTCACTAGTCCTTTAAAAGGGAGAAGGTACGGCAAATCATACCGAATCAGATCGAATCGATCAGAAGTCCTATGCTACAAAAGTGTCAAACTCGAAATCATAATTAATGAAAGCAAATTCCGTTGAATATGACACAAAATTATTATTCATTCTTCCTTTCTTATCGCTTATCTTATTTAACCACATTTCCTGATGAATTTCAGTAGGAGTGATGGTTCGATAACTATTACATATACTGAAAGGATCGATGCGAAATCGTTGCTAGGAAACATATTTTTTTATCCGAGAGATCAACGATCGAGAAAGAGAGGAAAATCGAATAAGGAACGAAATTACGATGGGGCTCAACGCGGAGCTTACTGCTATTCTTCGAGGTAAATGAAATGTTAACAGACGTCACATATATATTATGTATATATATATATTTATTATTGTAATCGTTTTAATCAACATCGACCGGATCGACATGAAACTACATACGTATATTTATTCACGATAGATGTAGTGCAATTTTTGGAATGTCTCCACGATGTAAAACTCCCATTGAAATTAGAGAACATTCGAGACAATCTATTGGTACGTTCGAAAGATACGCTAACGATGTTCGTAATAGAGAGAATCGGAAGACCGGCATCTCCAGAACCGTATTTAAATATGAACGCAACCGGATCGAAAGGTTTGATGGCAGCTACACTGAAAACGGAAACCGAGCTTCAAGAATACGTAGGAGCAGAGGAATACCATGAGATGCAAAAGCCACAGCAACAACAAGATTATTACGAGACCTTTCAGGGTGTCGAATCGACGAATAATACTATTGTACTCTCGACTCATGAAACGATCGATAATATTCAAAATAAAGGAGAAGAGGTTGAAAATACGCTGATGGACATTTACGCGAATTTCTCAGCAACGGAAACGAAAAGTAAATGTAAGATGTGTGGCCCTCTTTATAGGAAGGAAGGAAAGAAATTGTTCGTTTTCGAACAATATCGAGCTTGTTGGGTTGGTAAGTTGAATTCTCTCGATGATCGATATCGATGTGATCAAAACACTGCATGTAACGAAGCAATTTCTATGCAAATGCGATAGGTTTGGTTGGATTGCATCTATTAATTTACGGAAACGATCGTGACAATCGGCCGTGCACGATTTTGCCAATTCAGGGCTACATGGCACGAGCTGCTCCAAATGCGATTCCTCGAGACCAACGTCGAAGCGAATCTACTTTTGAGATTTTCCGTCCTGGTAATAGAACTTTCCAGGTACTCAAATATTTCTCATAAAATATACTATAGATATAGAAATGGAAATAAATGAAAAGGTTAATAAATTGAATGTAAAGTTCAACGTTATTTCAGTTTTCTGCAAAAACTCGGAAGGATATGGAACAATGGGTAACGAAAATTTGTGAATTAGGAGGCGAGAAGAATGATTATAAAGAGACAACAAAACAAATGGACGCGAACATCGTCGCAAATGGTGCTACCAAACAACCGAATGACCAAGAAGACTCGAGTTGCAAGCAAGAGCTTCCCGATAAATCTTCGACCGATCCAATCGTTGATCGATCCAATGAAGATACTAATGAAGGAAGAGGACTGGATGATTCTCACGAATCGGCCAATATTTCTATTCCTTCGCCTGCCACTGGCCCTTCCGAAGCTATTGTTTCTATTTCTTCTCGCCCACATTCCTCAACTCCTCCTCCGTTACCAGCTCGAATCTCCCGAAAATTACCGATACCGTCCCCTCAACATTCGTCTTACGAACTTCCTGACGAAGAGGAAGACGATATTTACCATAAGATCGAAGATTTTAGAGAGACGATACAATACGCAAACGTCAAAAACAAACATGAATCTGATGAAAAAGGGAAAAAAGGAAATTTCGAAATTGTTACGAAAAAATCAATTGGCTCGCGAAACGAATTAACGTATGACGATACCATCGATAACATTGCAACGTTGAAAGATAAAGTTGTAGATGAACAAAGTAAATTTCTATCGTACGATCAAGGCGAGGTGATTATAGTATATTTTGCACACATTTATTTCTTTATTCGTTTTTTTATTCTTACCTGCTCTGTTACTCGTTCTTTCTTTTTTCTTACTCTATCATCTACATTTTTATATTATATTTATGTATGCATTTCACAATTACATCATCTTCCGTATATAGACTGTAATTCGCAACTCAAAATCGATCAAGGTTCGAACAACGGAGAAAGTGGAGGAATCGGCAAAGTCACCGCAAAAGAAATCGTTTTTGGACAGAGTGAGAAGTAAAAAGGAATCTCCGAGAAAAATTGAGAAAAAGACGAAGCATAAAACTGCGACCTCTCCATCGCAGCCGCCGGCGCCGCTCTCGCAACTTTCATTGTCATTGGCAAACAATCACGAATCATCGAGTTACTACGATGACGTATCTGAGTTGATAAATGTTGAGCAAGAAATTAACCGTTTCGAGAAAGAACAATCAGAGTATACTTGTCCACCTCCTCCCAGGCCGATCTATGTGAAACCACCGATAATCGAAAATGTAACCGATGCGGATGAATTTTATGATGACGTCGCGTATCGCGATAAATCACATCAAGTAAGAATTTTCTATCTCTTAATCTTTCCGTTTTATTTTTTTTCCTTTGATGTCGCTTGCTTCGATAGCATTATTTTTAAAGACATGTTCAATGAATTTACAGCAAATTACAAAGAAATCAAATCTCTTTCACAATCTCGTTCGCACGGATGCTGATCGGCCTGCTTTCTGCGAGAAACTAGACGTCTCGCAGCAATCATTCGAAGATAACGAGCATTATAAAATGCCACGACCCGAATCGCATTATCCTAGATGTCTTCCTGTTGATCAACAAGTTGACGATTTGTATGACGACGTTGCTATACTCGCAGAATTTACGGCACGACAAAAGGAAGTTCTTAATAACAGAGATAACGAAAACGCAACAAGATCTCAAATCAGTCCCGAAAAAAAGGCGTGGAATCGATTTGTTAGCGGGAAAAGATCAAAAACGGTTGATTCAACGGTTACCGAAACGAATAGCCGAGTTTTAAACGAGACAGAGGATTCATCGGATGACTTTGGCGAACAACACAATACTTCGAGAATGAATACCTTTCAAAAATTGATTAGTAGAATGGAAAACTCTCTTGGCAAAGCACCCTCTAGGACAACATCGTCGATATTATTAAATAAAACAAATCTCACAAAATATGTGTAGCATAAATAATAATTCGAAAAGAAACGTGTATTCGCAGTTCACGTATTCAAATATATGACCAAAGAAATAATACGTTAGTATATTTAAAAGTAAGTAGTATATTTCAATATATCTGTATTAATAAGAATCTTTTATTTTTTAAAATAAATAACATTCTTTAACTTGTATATGTAATCCTAATATGACGTACCGTAAATATTCGGATACACGATCGAATTTATAAGTTTCAACGATGATAGATTTCATTCGTTATTTGTAAGTTGTACTTCAAAAAGTAATTATGCCCAATACATTTAATCGTATCGTTTTATCTTATAAAACGCTTATTTATTCGCTGGAATGTCCATCTCTGTTTTAAAATTTTTCTCATATGCATGATATAAATTATCGCAAATATTAATCACTGCTTGTATAAAAGAGTCAAATACATCGGTACTATATTTCTGAAATGCTTTTAAATGTATACCTGTCTTAGATTCTATGTACTCTATAAACAATTCTGACTGTTTCGAATACAATGGAAGAATCACAATCATCAATGTGAGTGCTAAACCAAACAAAAAAAGCCATGAGATCATGGACATAAAAAATCGATGTGCATTTCCTAGAACATCAATCAAAATATTATAAAATACTATTTGCATTTCTAAATTGTTCGGTACAACACATCTTGGTACGTTACCTTTAGTTTCATGTGTTTTATCAGCTTGGTTTCTATTGTGCGTGATTATCAGAGGTTCTATTTTGTCTTCATCTATTAGTGATACCTCGCTCGATTGATTAGATCCATTTTCATCTAAATTTTGCTTATTATTCTTATCCAATATCTTCTTCTTCTTTTTCCTCCCTCCTTTTTTTGTTGGAACAGGACCTGTTTCCATATCTGCTATAAATAAATGTGTTAATAGCGTCTAATATGTAGGAGCTATTTTAAGAGACTGGTATATTTTAATTTTGAACATTACCTGTAATGGCATTTAATCTCCGTAATTTTTCTTCTTCGATAGTAAGTTTCACACTTGACAAATAAGTGACAATGTTACGAGCACAAGCTTGGCATTCACTCAAATTACTACAAGGACCAGCAACACTAGCCACAGCAGGAGTTAAAGGATTTTCCTTTAAATCTAACCATCTTAAACTTTTTAATTCGCTTAAACTAAGTGGTAATCTGCTTATCTGTAAGATCATTCTACTATTATTTACATGCTTAACATTGTTGTAACACAGTTTAACACTGTTCCAGTCTTTCAGATAAAAACCATGTCCTAAAGGAATTTCTTTCCGATGTTTTGATAGCATTGCAATTAATTTCTCCAGGGTCTAAAAACTGAAACTGAGTTTTAGAGAAAGAAATTTCTTTCGTCACTGCTTTTATTCAAAAGCTTCAA